TGCAGGGCCGGACTAATTCTTCTGTGGGCCTGGGGCTATCAGATTTTGTGGGGTCCCTCCCTGTATACAAGTCTTTTTCCTAATTTAAAATAAAATGATCACATGGGGGGGCAGAGGCTCGGAGCTTCCTCTAGGTTCTTGGGTGGGGCCAAAAATGAGGGGTTCAGAGTGCAGGAAGTGGCTCCAGGCTGGGGCCAAGAGGTTTGGCATGCAGGAGGGGGTTCAGGGCAGGAAGTTGGTGTCTGAGCAGGAGTTAGGGTGCAGCAGGGGTCTCAGGGCTGGGGCAGGGGGTTAGGGTGTAGAGCGCTTACCTTGGGCAGCTCCCCTTTGGTGGCACAGCAGGGCTGAGGCAGGTTTCTTGCCTGCCCTGGCCCACACCACTCCCAGAAGCTGCCGGCATGTCCCTGGCTGTGGCCCCGGAGGGTGGGGTAGGTAGCTCTGCATGCTTCTTTCGCCTGCAGACTCTGCCCATGCAGCTCCCACTGGGTGTGGTTCCCGGCCAATGGGAGATGTGGGGGAGGCACCTGCAGGCGAGGGCAGCGCGTGGATGGAGCTTCCCTCCCTGATTGCTGTGAGCCAGCGCTCGCAGCTCCAGACCAGCAGAGGGTGGGGAATGGCAGCGCGTGGAGCCGCCTCCACCCCCCGCCAGGCAGGGCTGGATAATGCAGGGGTTTTAGTGGCTGCAGCCCAGGGCCCCGAGGCTAAGGGGGCCCTGTGAAATGATCTGGACTTTGGCAGCCCGGAGATCTTTTTGCAGGGCTCTCTTAACCTGAGGCCCTGGGCTGCAGCCCCTAAAGCTCCTGAGTTAATCCAACCCTGAGGAAATGACTTAGGTGTCTATGCTGTCTGGCTTCAGGTGTCTAGTTCCCATTCATGGATCACTAGCAGAGACAGGCACCTCCCTGCAGCCTGAACTTAGCTGTCCATCTGTCAGTGCGAGGCCGGGGCTTAGGACACACCACTGTGGTTGACAATTCCCATTGGCTGGCTTAGGCACCATCATCTCCTCTTCTGGCTGTTTTGTGTGAAGTGAGTCAGAGACCTAACCCGTTGCCATAGGAAACATGTCAGGCATTTTCCATTTTCTTCCTGGATGCTAAAGGAGGGACAGAATTTGGCTTCTACAAGAAACAGAGCTTGGGCCAGTAACTAAGAACCAACTGCTGTTATTGCTAATTATCCAGTGAGGTTATCCCTCTCTCCTGGGATAAAAGGAAACCCACTATTTGTGGGTTGTGACGAACTGGGACTGTTCTTAATGTGGTCTGTGAATGCTGACAGGGGAGTGTGGCTGGGATAGTCTGCATTGGGGGATGGGAGACGACCGAGGGAGAATACCTGAGCATGTAACATGAGAACCCAGGAAGGGGTTAGAGGCCAGGTGACACCTTTGCCCGGGAAACTGAAAAAGGCTGTGGGAGAGGTCGCTGAAGACAGAGTCGGAGGAGCTGGTTTGTGAGGTGGCTTGGGGGCAGAGAGGGCTCTGACCTCCCAAGGGGGCTGGGGTGCCTGAGGACCCCAAGATGAACCTAACTGAGGGGTATCCTGTTGTCTGTGTCTGCAAGACATATCTTGGACTGTGTCACTGTCATCTAAATAAACCTTCTGCTTTACTGGCTGGCTGAGAGTCATGGTGAATTGCAGGAAGCTGGGGGTGCAGGGCCCTGAGTCCCCCATACTCCGTGACATGGGTGTCTCTGTCTTTTGAGGAAAGGCAACTCCCTAATGTCTAGGGATATTGTCCATTCCCTCATTTGGATAGAAAGCCTGTAGAGAGGCTGAAATGTTCCCAAGGCACAAACATCAGCACTGCTGATAGGAGAAACATGGAAGTGAAAGGGGATTTAAGGGTAACAATATGCAAAATGATAAACACTAAGGCCCAAGAAAGAGAATTGGTGTTGCAACACTAAGCACCAAATGACCTAACTTTTAAGACACTTAGAAAACCACTGGAATCTACAAAGCCTGAGTTAGGGGAGAGATCAGTACTTGAGAATGGGATCCACAAAATCCAGCATCTAGGGAGGAAGCTGCCTAAAACAGCCCAGAATAGATGTTGATAAGAGTGGTATATCCTAGCGGTCCGCTGTGCCAGATTTCAGAGCCTGAACCCAGGCTGGATTGAGGCCCCTATCTCTGCTTGTGATGCACAGCCTGGCACACTCTCCTGGAGTCAGTCACCTAAGCCACTTTTTACAAGCTGCACTGGTACTGGTACCTCCCATAGAATTTTCGTCCCAGTTTTTAGAGCACTTGCTGAAGATGTGGGAGATCCTTGGTTCAACAACCCCCTCTGCTGAATGGGGGGGAAAGGATGTGAACGGGGGTCTCCTACTGCCCATGAGTGTGCTATGACCCTGGGCTCTGGGATATTCTGATGAGGGGCTCTTTCATTCTCTCCTGCTGAAGCGATTTCACTTAGGATAAATAATCATTTGCAGTCATTGGAGCAGGAGGATTAGACCTTGGGTCTCCTTCTAACATGTGAGAGCCCTGATCATTGGCCTACAGATTATTCTCACTCTTTCTCTGGCCCAGTGACTAATTTAGGATCTCATTTAATGACTAATTGGAGGATTTCAGGGGCACCTGAATTTTGGACTTCGGTGTCTGACATGGGGAGTTAGGTGCCTAAGTACTTTTGTGGACTTTTATAGACATGTTACTGACCTTCTACCTTCAGTTCCAATACTGCTTCTTCATAAAAGACACCATCTTGAACAAAACAGCGGTACTGTCCTTCATCAGAGGGTCTGACATTCACAATCCTCAAGGCAACATTCCCATCCATGATGCTGGCTTTCAAAAGCTCTGTCCTTTCATGATATTCTGGCATCTGCTGCCCATACTCATCCTTTCCATGCTGATATAGGTGTACAAACAAAGTGAACTCAGATCGGAACCATCTCACCTCCATGTTCTCAGCGCTCATCCTGGGGGACAGGTGACAGGGTAACACAATGTCCTCACCCACAATGGCAGTGACAGGGTGATCAGGTCCAATCACTGTGAACCGAGCTGCCAAATGCACAAAGGCACAAAGAAGATAAAACAAATAAAGTAAATGTACATCATATTCCCTTTTAATCAATGACACTCATAAATTAGAATCTCTTTGTGAATATTTCCTATTCTGTGCCTCGTTGCAGTGCTCTGTCATTGACTAGGATGTGTCCTGAATTTATACATGAATTTTACAACCAACAATGCATTTGGATAACCATAATTTATATTAGTTTTAGTGGAAGCTGAAATACTTTGTCATTATCCTTACAAGCAGCTCCAGACAGAATTAACTTGCATTTGCAAACCTTTCAAATTGTTGCTTTCTGTTTGAAACAGTTTTTAAGTTTTTTGAATGTTATAGAACATATAAAATAAGTTAAAGAACATCATTAGGGTACCATTCAGGAAATCTTTCTTCAGGAAGGAAACTTAAGCATGTGTTTAACTTTAAACATAAACTTAAATGCTTTACTCCAGTGGTTCTCACACTTTTGTGCTGGTGACCCATTTCACACAGCAAGCCTCTGAGTGTGCCCCCCCCCCTGTAAATTATAAATGCTGTTGACAAAGTGGGGCTTGGGGTGGAGACTGACAGCACACGACCCCCATGTAATACCCTCACAACCCCCGAGGGGTCATGACCACTAGTTTGAGAATCCCTGCTTTACTCAATCAGGAGCTAAGGTTGCCAAAGAAAGTACTTAAATATTAGGAGATGCCAGATTGTGCTACTTCATTTCTGCCTCCTTTTGTGTACAATACAGTCTTCTGTTATATGACCTCAGTTTCCACAGAACCTCTGTTTCAGTCCGAGACT